CCCCCCCCCCCCCCCCGCCCGGGTGGGACTTATATTTGGAGGGGCGGTTTAACGGAGGGTTTTTTTTGCGTTAACGCTTTGGGGGGGCCGGGCTTATATTTGGAGGGGCTTATTTTCGGAATATTACGGTATTTTATACTGTCGGCTATGTTTCACTTGTTTTGTTCGAGGAGGCCTTCTTTCTCATAAGCTTTCTAGTTTTTTAGGTCTCCCCGGCCACAATTCTTTTTTTTCTAGTAGCGAATATATAACAAATAAATAAATAGGTAAACAAATAAATAATAAATAAATACAATAAAAATGTAACTTTCCTATTGGTTTCCGAGCTAGTTTAATAAGTTTGGGACATCATCATTGCGACCCCATAGCCTTCATGTCTTGGCCCCAGGTTGTCGAGAACTTTCTTTAAAAGTCTTCTCTTGATAGACCCGGGCCAAACACATGCGGGACACCAACCTCGTTCCCAGGGTTCTATGGAGCGAGAGAGAACCTGGGAACGACGTTGGCGGGACGCCGGTGATCGGCAAGGCAAGGATTCAAATAAAATGATACAATTGCTTTAATTTGTTTTAACCATGATTGTAATTTGTAATTTGTTTACCCATACCCTAATCCAGGGGACCGGGAAACGGACGCTCTGGAAAAATCCAAAACCGGAACTACAAAATCCTGGTTCCGGTTTAATTCCGCCTGCGTGAAGTTGTCTACCCATTTGACCAAGAGAAGTTTCCGAGGGAATTTTGCCTTACTCGCACATTGTTGAAATTTACTCCTTCGAAGCAGTCCTTTTCTTCACATGATCTCGACCGGTGTATTTACTGAAGAAAGTAACTCGAAAGGACTGTTCAAGGAGACCGAAAAAGAAAAAAATTAAATACCGCGACTAAAACTTAGTTATGACGACACACATTCTTTTGTACTCAGAATGAGCACAGCTGTATGCAAATTTGAAAAGTTCAGTAACATGTATGCCGAGTAATTCTCTTGAAGAATGGCATTAAAATGACTTTCAAAAATAAGGCAAATTTTTGAACAAAATAACAATGTAGCGTGGTTTCGTGACTTATCGAGATAAACTTTTTTCTTAACGGTTTTAAGTCATATAAGATTGGTGTGTACACAAATGATCTGTTTCACGCTCAAAGTTTTTTTCACTTGCAAAGTTATTTGCAATCACAGATTTTTCGGATTCTTCTTGGTGATCCTTGGTTCTGACCACAAGGATCGCAGCGTCTGGGAACGAGATTGCCCAAGGAGCACTTACGAGTTCTCAAGAACTTGCTGAAACGTGTACGAGCGTTCCAGATAGAATCGAATCTGGAAGTGTTGGTTTTTTAAGAGAGAGGAAAACTGGAGTACCTGGAGAAAAACCTCTCGGAGTAAGGGAGAGAATCAACAAAAACAAATAATACCCACATATGGCGCCGACGCTGGGGTTCGAACCAAGGCCACATTGGTGGAAGGCGAATGCTCTCACCACTGCGCCACTCTTGCTCCCCTAAAGGCCGTAATAATACAAAATGAAAGGCAAACACCAATAGCTAAGGTAGCGTGATTGCCGCAAAGAACCATGACGCAGACATCAAAGATTTCACTTTTTTTCGGACGAGGGTGGGACATGTTATGTAGCACAGTATTACCACATTATTAATGCTGCCCACAAGGAACATTTTAAGACAAACTAAAATTTAACATGTGTGCCTTGTTGTCTTTCCCTATTTACATTTTCGTTTCTTTGCTGTTGACGGCTGAGGGCTGCTCATTGAACTGGATTCTGTTTCCACACTTCTCTGCAGAAAAAACAAATCATGAAATTATAATTATGCTATGGACGTAGAAAACACAAAATCCATTTTTCGAATATTCCCTACACTAAGTGCGCTTACAGAAGTCAGAACTGGCCGAACGGACAGGTCATTGTGAACGACAAATAAGCTTTTCTCTAAAGTTTTGGCTCAAAAAGAAAACCATCAATTGTTGTTCGACCTACACAACGACGACGACGACGACCGCAATGGGAACAACATAATAGCAATAGGTTTAGATTAGCAAAACAAACCTTTGCACTTGCATCACGCTTTTTTGTAATTTCTCTGCCGTCCTTGCAAGACAACAACATGAAAATGCCTAAATTCACGTTTTGTGGAGCAAGTGAACACAAAATAACGATTTTCTTCTCTTTCTTTTTTTCAAAGTCAGATACAGCTTTTAGAATTCAACTCCAGAAAAATTCATTAACATCTGACAAATTGAATGACATGGAATAAGAGCAATGAATTTTGAAACGGCGTAAATTCACTTTTTACGGAACGTTTTCGCCACCGTCCTCCCTCTTCGTACTTTGCTTAAGGTCCCAATACAATACCGACAACACAACGCGAATGTTGTTGAAACTCGTTAAATATGATGCTAAGTCAGACAATAGTAGACATATTTTAAATAATTATGCTTGAATGCAGTATACTTTGTATAATAAATTAACACTACTACTGTTTTTACTACTGTTTTACGGTTAATTTCCCTTTTAAATTGCCCAATAGAATTGGTCTTTGGGAGTGAGGTTCGATTAGTGCGTAGTCAGCTTGCAGTGCATTGCAGAGATTCACTACGAGCGTGCCTTTGTTTGAACAGGGTTAAAAAAAAGAGATTTTACCACATATTGAGTTCAATCGATTTTATTATCTATTTTCGAGTCCCTCATAATACACTCCGTTTGCTCCCTAAATTTTGCATAGACCATTGTGTCCAAATGCTCCCCAGAGCAAGCAAGAATAAGAGTTTTATGTCAAGTCAACGTAAGCCTACAAAAAACATAAAACAAAAAATATATAAAATGTTATGATTGCGTCTGCACTTATGCATTGTGTCTTCTACAGGCCATTTTTAATTATACTACTATGTTTTACTCAGTAATGTTGCAAGCGCTTACCTTATTAGATTTAGACTGCTTCTTTCGTTTTATGTCAAGGTTTTCAGTTTCAAATTTCTTTAAATGAGATGTAAAGAGAACCTGCCAACAAAACAGATTGAGCCAGCATGAATATAATTACTCTGCAAAACAGGGGTGGCTTTTGCTTGTTTTTACCAAAATGTTTGAGTTTGGAAGAATTGACCAGAACATTTATGATTTTGCTAGTAGAGCGCACACGCAAAAGTAACTCCATGGGTAAGACAACTTATCAATGTGGAAATGTCAGTCACGACGACAGCATTTGCACGTATGCCTACCCCCTGTACAAACCCTGGTGTTTCTGGTAAGAAAGTGAGGCAAATTCCAAGCAAACTGTGTTTGCCATGAGAGGCAGTTGGCCTTGCAATTGAAAATAACTTGACTTGGCTTGAATTTTTTTTCTTTAAGAACTGTTAGGAGTGAAGCAAACTGACATAAATCATCGTTACGGCCCTTGGGAGTTGAATGAGCAAGTTTTATCTTAAAGGCGTCAAAATAGAAGATTTCGAGTTCTAGACAACTTAGAGGAAAAATAATGCTGCAACTGAGCCAAAACTAATTTTGCAGCTGGTCAAAAACGATTGAGGTATGCAATGGTCTTGGACTTTAATTTAAAAAAACAAACAAACAAGCAAACAAACAAGAAACAAGACAAAACAAAAACACTGGACAAATCCCAATGAAAGTTGGAAAAAAGAACTGATCAAGCAGAGAGATTTTCAAGGCATTAATATCTAAAACAGACTGCACCACCTCACATTTTAAGCTTGATAAATCATTGCTGCTTGTTTATTCACATATACAAAAGGAAAAAACAAACAAGCAAGCAAAACAAAAGATTACCGACTGTGCCCATCCTGCATACTTTCCAAACAGAAAACGATAGTGATCCCCTAATGATGAAAAAAAGTCCATTAGGAGCTGAAACTGCTTGTACTGTATCAAATAATAATTAACAACTTGGAAATTATTAAAACGACAAAACCCTAGAACACATGTATTTCTAATTGACTAGAATGTACCACAACTATTTTAGGTAAGAGATCAAGACACAGGAAAAATGCACAAGCCATCAGCTAATAGCCTGCAAATACAGCTGTCTCTTATTGTACACCACTGTGACCTGTCCCTTGCGGTGGATTCACTATGGTCCAACAAGAGAAATTTCCAAAAGCTAAGCAAAGCACTTGAAAACTAAGGTTGTTACTTCCACTGTTCAAAGTTTCTACCTTACTATTAGGATGTGAGTCTAGGGGCTGCAGATTACATGAGTCAGGCTTGCTCACTTTGTCAAGATTGCAGCATGTTAATTAAATGCAACAAAGCCGATTGCATGACAACTGAGCCAGCCAAGTTAGCTGGGATCCCAAGGTATCAAGATGGCGTAAAGTGACATAGCAAGCCAGCCCCTCAGACTGGGCCTTCCTGGCTCATGTAATCAGCCCTTTACAAAGCATTATGAAATGTAACTAAGTGTTTGAAAACTGAAACTGGTATCACTATCACACCTTCACAGATTATAAGTTTACTTAGGCAGAAGGCATTTGCAATGAAAAGAGGCTAGCTACAATAACCACTGAACTGCCTACTAGCCACAACCACCCATGCTGATTCATGACCCTTGTGCCACTTGTGACATCATCGTACTAAGCGTACTAATGTAATAAGACCAAAAAAATGGCGACAGACGTAGAGCATGGCCGTACTAAGCGTACTAATGTACTAACACCGAATAAAACACCAACATAAATAGAACATGGCCGCACTAAGCGTACTAACGTACAAAGACCAAATAAAATACCAACATATATAGAACATGGCCGCACTGAACGTACTAACGTACAAAGACCAAATAAAATACCAACATATATAGAACATGGCCATATTAAGCATACCAACGTATAAAGGCCGCATAAAATGCCAACTTTTAATATTTTTAGGCCGTATTTAGTGTATCAATAATGTTTTAAAGGCTGGAAAATGCTACCATACGTTGCAAACATATGGCCGCGCTAACAATACAATGTTCTGTGGCACTTTGTAATACCTATTACATTTTGTAATAAACTTGTCGCACTTTGTAATAACACCTCTCGCACTTTTCAATAAACTTGAAAATTATGGTGCAGACTGGTGCAACTATGGGTGTAGATTGGTGCAGTTTGGAGAATGTTGGTGCAGATTGGTGCAACTTGTTGCAGATTGGTGCATGTTTCGTACAACTCGGTGCACATTGGTGCAGTTTGGTAAAACTTGGTGCAGATTGTAGCAGTTTCGTCCATGCTGGTGCAGATTGATGTAGTTTGGTGCAGATTGGTACAGTTTGCTGTACATTGGTGCAGTTTGGTCCATGTTTGTGCAGTTTGATGTAGTTTGGTGCAACTTGGTGCAGATTGGTACAGTTTGGTGCAACTTGGTCCAGTTAAGAGAAACTTTTGGCCATGTTGAGGCATATTGGTGCAGCTTGGTTAATGTTGGTGCAGTTTGGTGCAACTTGATGCAGATCGGTGCACCTTGGTGTATATTGGTGCAGTTTGGTGCAACTTGGTGCAGTTTGGTGCAAATTAGTGCACATTGGTGCAGTTCGGTGCCAATTGGTGCAGTTTGGTCCAACTTGGGGCAAACTGGCGCACATTAGTGCAGTTTGGTGCAGATTGCTGCAGATTGGTAAAGTATGGTGCAACTTGGTGAAGATTAGTGCAGCTTCGTTAATATGTTGGTGCAGTTTGGTGCAACTTAATGCAGATTGCTGCATGTTGGTGCGCCTTGGTGTATATTGGTGCAGTTTGGGCCATGTTGGGCAGATTGGCGCAGATTTGTGCAACGTGGTGTAGTTTGGAGTAGTTTGGGCCATGTTGGGGCAGACTGGTGCAACTCAGTGCAGATTGGGGCATGTTTGGTGCAGATTGGTGTAGTTTGGTGCAAGTTGGTGCAGATTGAAGCAGTTTCGTCCATGTTAGTGAAGACTGATCTAGTTTGGTACCGATTTGTACAGTTTAGTCAATGTTGGTGCCGTTTGATGCAGTTTGGTGCAACTTGGTGCAGATTGGTACAGTTTGGTGCAACTTGGTGTAGTTAGGAGGACTTTGGGCCATGTTGAGGCACATTGGTACAGTTTGGTGCAACTTGATGCAGATTGGTGCACCTTGGTGTACATTTGTAATAAACTTAAAAATTACGGTGCAGACTGGTGCAACTATAGGTGTAGATTGGTGCAGTTTGGAGCATGTAGGTGCAGATTGGTGCAGTTTGGTCGCCTTGATGTAGGTTGGTCCAGTTTGGTGCCACATGTTGCGGATTGGTGCATGTTTCATGCAACTCGGTGCACATTGGTGTAGTTTGGTGCAGATTGGCGCAGTTTGGTGTAACTTGGTGCAGATTGAAGCAGTTTCGTCCATGTTGGTGCAGGTTAATGCAGTTTGATGCAGCTTGGTGCAGTTAGGAGGACTTTGGGCCATGTTGAGGCAGATTGGTGTAGTTTGGTGCAACTTGGTGAAGACTGGTGCAGCTTGGGTCATGTTGGTTCAGTTTGGTGTTAACTTGATGCAGATTGGTGCATGTTGGCGCACCTTGGTGTATATTGGTGCAGTTTGGCACAGATTGGTGCAGTTTGGTGCAACTTGTTGCAGATTGGTGCATGTTTCGTGCAACTCGGTACACATTGGTGCAGTTTGGGCCACGTTGGGGCAGATTGGTGCAACTTAGTGCAGATTAGGCCATGGTTGGTGCAGACGGGTGCAGTTTGGCGCAAGTTGGTGCAGATTGAATCAGTTTGGTGCAGTTTGGGCCATAGTACGTTAGTACGCTTAGTACGGCTGTATTCTATGTATGATAGTATTTTATTCAGTCTTAGTAGATTGGTACGATTAGTACAGCCATGCTCTATGAATGTTGGTATGTTTTTTGGTCTTAGTACGTTAGTACGCTTAGTACAGCCTGCTCTGTGTATGTTGGTGTTTTACTCGGTCTTAGTACGTTGCTACCCTTAGTACGACCACGTTCTATGTGTGTTGGTATTTTACTTGGTCTTGGTACATTGCTACCCTTAGTGCGGCCATGTTCCATGTATGATGGTCTTAGTATGGCCTTGTTCTTTGTATGTTAGTACAGTTAGTACGGCTGTGTTCTATGTTTTTTGGCATTCTATTTGGTCTTAGTGCGTTAGTATCCATAGTACAGCTATGTTCTATTCTGCCTTGTTATGGTTGGTACGCTTATAATATAGTGCAGCCATGTTTCATTTTCATCGGTATGCATGAATGACTTTATTCGGCTTTGTCAGTCATGTTTTACCTCTATCAAATAGTGCTTTCATATGGAATAACGTTATTTAAGAAATGTTTCACAGTAAACACAGATCACAGAAGACAACAAAGACAACTGATAAATAAAAACATGCAGTGACTTACAGGGAAAAAACAGGCCCTCTTCATGATTAAAGGGACACAGCTGTAAGACCGCACTGACCTGGAGACTACTTTTGCCAGTTTGAAAAGCATTTACCTCAACCCAAAATCAAATGTTCGCATCGGATACATCTAGAAATCTGCTTCAATCTTGCCTAGTGTTTCATTTGATCCTCGATCTTTTACTGAAAACTTCTTTTTGGGCAAACTTTTACTCATCCTATTACATTATTTCATCATATTTGGTTAAAAACAGTATCCAAAGGAACATGAACAGAGGGGGTGAGAAACGCGTAAGCACTGGGCAGGAGAAATCGCATTGGTTTACCAAAACAACAAGAGAAATGAATAAAAAACGGTGAGCAAATTATCTTTTAAGATATTTCGAAAATCGATGTAAACGGTTACATGTATTTAGAAAATCAAGCTTTTTCGACCTTGAACCTTCAACAATGATTCAAACTTCTGTAATTTCACACCTCTTAGTACTGATGTTCGAATTCGGCAGTATTTGTCGATGTTTGGCTTACCCTGGACAAATCCATGGTGAATTCT